GTTGACTTCTGATTAACTTCATTTCTGGGAATGCCTCTAAGATTTCAACTCTATCTACTGTTAAGAGCACGTACTTACCATAAATCCCGGCCTTACCGTAAATCCTACCCTAGTGCAAATTTTTGCCTTTCTCTGAGGGCTCAACTTCAATTGCCCTACATATTCCTTCCCTTTGGTATATAAGCCCTAGGTCTGGGAGTGGATAACAATGCCAGGATCCATCAGGATCTTATCTCACAGCCACCAGAGACATGGCTTCTGTTGGTAAATCTCTATTAAATGTTTCTTTTTGAGAAATTAGACTTACCAGCATCTTTCTTTGGTCTCTTATCCCCCTCGGCCTTTGGGAGTAGGTTTAAACAGACCTATTCACCACAGAACATCAAGACTTGGAAAATGCAGATGTTATTCCTACCACATGCAGATTAATGTGGATCCACAGCTAAAACAAGGCTCTCCAGCTGGTTTCAGCTGCATGCTAGTAGGTCTGACCCTTGGCCCTTAACATCTAGCAGATCCAGAGGTGCCCAAAATGTTTGGGGTAAATCAGGATGCTATATAGAGCCTGTGGAAAACCATGATAGGAGAGTCACAGTGGAGGCTGCTAGGGTGTAGTATATACCATAAAACAGCAACCAATATATACAGCTGTTTCTCCCACTGCCATGATTTGCAAGTCTGGGGACATAGGAGTAGAAATAAGGGTGGTGTCTCTCATAATTACACCTGGCCCATTGCAACAGGTTTACTCCCCATATCTGTAACTCTGATCTCTGATAGATTAGAGATTTTAGCTTCCTAGGAAGAACACTTCTAGTATAGGATGAAACAATGGGTCCACTGAATTTGAAGCCACTCTTAGCTCCGGGATCCACTCAAAAAAAGATGATTATGTTGTTCATGCTACAGAGTGAGGACAGAGAGGAATATGGATGATACTCAGGGGATCCCCTAAGATACCTTCTTATACTACAATCCTCAGAGGGTACATGACAGAACATTGCAATCCTCTAAAGGACTACCAAGGGTTCAGACTCATCAAGAATGAAGGACTGAGCCTCCCCAGTGGGTAAAGAAAAGGGAAGGTGGAATTGATACAGAAGTCATAAATCACAGGACCACCTCATGGCCACGTGCAAGAAATGAGAACTGTACTTTCTACTTGTATTTCCCTGCTTATTATCTTTCCTTTTAAAATTTTTCTCTCACCTCTTCTTTCTTTAGTATTATAAATAGAATAGAGTAGTGGTGGTGAATTCACCATTTAGATCATGGAATTGTACAATATCAAGTTGGGATAATGGAAGAAATAGAGAAAGAAGAAATATCACTAGGAGAAATTGAACTATAAACAGAGGCCTCGTGACCTCACCTCTGACTATGGTAGCTGGAAATGTTTATATGTGTTGCCTCTCTCTGGGTAGTTTCTGGTTGTATGTGGAGCAATTAAATTATATCACAAGGGAGCATTTCTAGACTCTTGAATGAGAGAAGTGTGTTTATACATGAGGGGAATACATAGAGTGTAAGGTAATTATTGTCTATATTACTTTTCCAAATATTTAACATTCCCTCTTTGGGGGAACTGCTGAAAATCACAGAGATTCACTTTTCAAGACTGCAAGAGTACCTGAAGGAGAAATATAGGTGACAGACAGACATTAGTACCAGTAGAGCCCCAAATATTAGATATCCTTACTAGTCCTAGAGCCTCCACCTTTTAAGACATTAGTTACCTTGCCCAGAATCATTCAGATTCTTTGGTTCAACAAAATTTGGCTTATAAACCTGATCTCTACATTCCCAAGCATTTTTCAGGAAGGGTTTGAAGTAAAGTTGTTGGATTTTCAGTAAAAATACCAAAATTGGGAACTTGTAGCAAACCATGCTTTGAAAGACAGGATGTTTACAACTCTCTGACCACTCCCACCCCTATACTGGAAGATGAGGATTCTAGAGACATTCTCTGAGTTATGGAAGAAAGAGGTCAATGCCAGTAGTAATTCAGGTGACCAGAACCTGAGTCTGAAGGCAATCACAAAACTGTGCCCAAGGAAGAGGTCAAGGGTGACAACAGAAAGCTCAGGCTGTAGACTGGTCTAAAGGAAGTCCCGGGTTTAGAGCCTATATCTCTGCCTGTAAAGTCAAAAGCCAAGTCATATCAGGAGGGGACCTAGAGGAAAGGAAAGAGGAAATAATAAAGAATAAAGGTAGAACAAGAATTCTTCTTTAATCTGGCAAGTAAGAGAGGAGCTCCTCCCGAGGTACAATTCAGAGAATTGTACCTTTAGGAAAGTTTGAGTTAAAGGACATTTTCTGTTGCTCTAAGGTGTGTTAGCAGTGCTCAAGAGAATTGCACTTAATTCTACAATTAAGCCCATGCCAACAGTTGCCAGAGATATTCAGCTCATGAAGGTCTGACAAGGTTGATAAATCTGAGGATCCTGTAGTGTCACTTGCTGTCTTGCCTTTTTGGGGGGTGGGTAGAGGGCTGGTGTTGTAGGATGAGAGAAATTACACCTGAAGTGAATTAGAGGAAATGTTTTGAAAAGTGAAACATAAAACCAAAAAGCCTGTGCTGTTTGCAAGTTAAAATTTTAAACTGTAACTGTTTGGAACTGTGTATATTTGAGCTTTCTCAGTTAATGGGCAAAAGGCTGTGTTTCTGAGGAGAAAGTGATATTTAATTATTTACAATTTCCACATTCAAAGCAATTTGCTTTTGAGTACTTGTTATAAAGAATACTTTTGTGTTCTCACGAATATATGACCTAAAAATTTGGATCAGAGTGGAAAGATAAATAACAGAGACTGGGAAGGGTGGGGGCAGGAGGCAGAAGATGAAGAGAATTGGGTTAAAGGGTACAAACATACAGTTAGATAGAAGAGTGAGGCTTCAGGAATGAAGTGCTTAGCCCTGGTTTCCCAAAATTCCAGCATCCATGGCAGCTACTTGAGTCATGAATTTTACAAGAAAACTTTAAATGATGCCTCACAATTTCTTAAATAGTAAAAATACAATTAAAAGTTAATCATAGAATGAATGTCTCACATTAGTAGTAAGAATAATATTATTTGCAATATTTTATCACTCTGCCACTATACTTCTCTGTCTCCTCTCCTGAAGATTGTGGATAATAATCATTTCTATTTCAGGGTTGTTGGGAGGATTAAATGAAATAATGTATATAAAATACTTAGAAAATTGCATGGCATATTGTAAGTATGCAATGTTTCCAATTATTTCTTTATAACTAAGTTGAGTATATGAATGTATGTATGCAATATATATCTATTACTCTCTAGCTCAATCACTTGAGTCATTGGCCAGGTGACTTCACATCTATTCATTCTACATGGGTAAAATATAATTTCTTATCATTTTTTTATTTCTAATGGCCACACAGTATTCCATCATATAGATGTACTATTTTTATTTAACCAAGCACCTACTGCTGGACATAGAGTTTATTTCCACTGTTTTATTATGATCAACACCAAAATGTAAGAACCTTGTATAAACACTATAGGGCCCTTGTCCAATTTTTAAGTTTTGAAAAGTAATCACATCTTTATTGTTTTGTTTTTATCTTAACTATGACATTCTACAGATTTGCTCATGCAAAGTTTCATAGTGTGAGAAAGCTCTGGGCTATTTGAAGACTACTGGTCATTTTTAGTTTTAAAACATTTCCATGTGGCCTGTGGTCTGCTTGGAAAACAAGGGGTTTAAGTAGTCAAAGAAATCATATTTTGTGTGATCATTCAGGAACATTTCAGTACATATATATATACTATTGCAGAAAGATAGGAAGGCATGTGTTTTAACTCAGAATCTACCTGACATCAAGTGTCACTCCCAACCCTCCCCAAATTTCCTAGATGCAGTAAATTCATTTTAATAAGTTTTAATTTTTAATCAAAGTGATACACATGTATAGTTTTAAAAAATCAAATAGAACAAAAATGGCATATAATGAAAAGCAATAAATCTCTGTCCATCTGTCTCAACTCTTGGTTCCCCAACCCACAGGCAAAAACTTTTGCACATATCTGTTTAGTGATTATCTCCCTTTTTCTTAATTATATGATTTTATTACTATTTCTTGACCTGATGACATGAGGAATTTTCTACTGACTTCCTGGCTCTCCTCCCCCACTGAATATTGCTGTATCACTATTTCTAACTCTTCTGCTGGCTACCCGGTTCACTGAATAGCACAGTTGAATGCTATGATTGGATTTCTTCATCTGTGACTCCAGAGTCTTGATCTTTGTACCAATGTTCAGATTCCCTTTCTCAGATTGCTGGCAACTGTTTGAAACTATGCCACATCTGAGGTTGCCTCCTATTTGAAGCATGAGGGTTGAAGCATGAGGGTTTTGTACAGTTTGAAATGTTTTTCCTCGTAGTTTCTGTTTGTCATTGTTTCTTCTCTTGGGATGAAGAAATGTGTGTCTTCCAGATCATGTTATTAATTTCCTCCAGCATCTTATTCAATCTGTCTGTTGCTTTGAATTCATTCCATTTGGTTGGAAGTCTATTTGCTTCTATTCTCATTGGTAAGATTTGTCTGCTATCTGGACCATTCTTGTAGTTTCTTTCCTTAAGTTTTTAGTTACCTTTACATGTTTTTTTCTTAATGTATCCGGCACCTGTTGTCATTTCCTAAAGTTTGTGCTGTTTTTTGTTTTATGGACTCAAGAATTTCTCTGAGGATTTTCAAATTTTTAAGTTCTTTTCTGTTCCTTGAATTATTTATTTCCTTGGAAGTCAATTTTTCGTTTTATCTTAGGCTTTTTTGGTTATGTTGTAGGCTTTCTGCAAATGCTGATTTTTTTTTAGCCGCCCCTTTATAATAAAAGATGAGGCAATGGAAAGACTGGCAAGTCTGCAAGCGCTATCAGACGTGATCGCTTTGCTCTAGGGTGGGTGAACTGCTGGGTAGAAGTCAGCCATCCTTCCAGAGGGTTCCCCAGATGCCACAAAGTGAGTGGCTCTAAATATGTACCTGCAGGCGGATGTTGAGCATCACGGAGGCCACGATGTAGCAGTAGGGGAAGTTTTTGCGCAGCCGCCAGGCCAGGTCGAATAAGATGAGCAGCGGACGTGTCAGCCCCTTGCAGAAGGCGCGGTAGGAGCAGCGGGTCGCGGCTGAGAGTGACAGCCGCGCTGCCAGGCCAGAAAGGACCACCGCCGCCATGGGCCTGATGTCGCCTCCCATACAGTGCCCAGAGCCCAAAGCCTCCAGCAGGCTCTGCGAACCCACCGACGGTGGAGCAGAAGGACGAACACCGGGGAATACGGGCAGGAGGCCGTCTGAAGGCTGCAGATCCGAGCTGGGTCGCAAAGGCGGACGCCCTCCTTCGCAGGAAGGGCTCTGGCCCCTGAGGTCGCTGGCGTTCTGCTCGGCCCCACCACGCCCCCCACTCCCCCCGCCCTACAAGGTCCGCACTTCCCAGGGGTAGCTTAGCTTGGCTGCCAGGCCGGGTGGTTGGACCCCGGGGGAGCTGGGGGAGGGGGATGCTGGGACGGGAGGGGGGGAGCGTGGCGAGAGAGTGGACAATGGGCGGGGCGCACGCTGATGTGAGAGACCCAGCTTCCTGACCAGGGCCATCCTTTTTTCTTTTTTTTTAATTTTTAACTTTTTAAAAATTTTTAAGTTTTTAAATTTTAACAGAAGAAAAACAAAACTTTCTCAAAATGATTTAAAAAAAAAATGGCCTTCATAAGCATGATCTTGAGCAACTCAGAGGCATGAACACATTTCCTGTTGCCCCAAATCCCTTTAGGAACATTTTCAATCTTCCCTTTGAGCTAGTACAAATACACAAAACTCACAGCTGTTCTGGACTTTGAAATGTGTGCATTCTGTTGCAATAATTCAAGTGACACTTTTGTTTGTGTTTTAGATCTTTAGTATTCTTCTAATTGGTAAAATTATTCAAACAAGTTTTTAGAAATTTTCAATGCAGAAACATGTAAAACAATGTGCATTCCCCATCCCACCCCTGCCATGAACTACTGTTATATTTATTGTATATACTTCCAAACATTATGTGTTGGTATATTGCTCTTGCCATATCAATAATATACACCTAGCTCACTCTCTTTGATGACTGAATGTTATGCAATATATATGTTGACTAACAACTTTCAGTAATTTATTTACCCAGACCTTTATTGATGGACATTCTGAATGTTTACAGTTTATCCAATGCCAAAAATTGTTGCAATGAACACCATTGTACAAATTAATTTACAAGGGGCAGAAGAGTATGGAAAATATGGCCCCATCTTTATTTATAAAAAATAATTACGTATACATATACATAGACATTTAGCGTTCAAAATCAAAAGGTTTTACTAATACCTGTGGTCAATCAAAAAATTTTAGGTACCAGGTTCCATACAACATCAAGTGTTAACTATCTTAAATTCTTTTTTGCCAATATGATGGACAACCATTACATTTCATTATTCTTCTAGTTTGCATTCATTTAATTTTCAGTGTAGTTGAGTAACTTTTCTAAATTTCTTAATTTTCCAATATTGTTTTTCTGATTGCTTGGAAAACATTAAAATATTATACATTATGAGAAAAGTAAAATCTGGGGGTTATGAAACCCCCAGAAAAACTATTAACAGTTTGGTATATGTTTTTATCAATTATTTGCATATATTAAAAAGCACAGACATATATACATACATACAAATCATAAAACAAAATGGAATCATACAAATATATGCCCCAACCATTGCTTTTAAATATAATGATATATCTTGCATATCTTTCCATATTGATACCTTATTGGCTGTTCATTATTCCTTATGGATGGCCAAAAATTAACTGATCTGCTGATGAACATTCAGATGGTTTCAAATTTTTCACAATCATAAATAATGCTGAGGTTAATATCCTTACATGTGCATCTTTTTACACTTTTCTGATATTTCCCAAAGTTACATTCCTAGAGGTGGAATTTTTGGGTCAAAAAGTTTTCATTTAAGGATTTTCATTTATATTCTCAAATTGCCTTACACAAATTGTACTAATATATTCATGAACACACCCTCAGCAGTTCCTAACAATGAACATTGGCATTGTTTTAATTCTTTGACATTTTGATGGGTGAAAAAGGTATCTCACTGTTATTTTAATTTGCATGTTTTAATTATTAGCAAGGTTAAACATCATTTCTAGTGTACATATCTTTGCACATTTGCATGAAAGGAACTTCTCTGTCAAAAGTTTTACAATCTTAAAATTAAGAGCTATTTCCAGTTCCTGTTTAAAGAGGTTCCACTCCCTCAGGCAATGTATAAGGCTATCCATTTCTCCACACCCTCAACAATCTTATTATGTATTATTTTATTATTACTAATCTAAAAGAAAATCATTATTTCAATTATTTTAATTTACTTATATTTGATGGCTATTGTGACTAAATATTATGTTTTTTGGTCACTTAATGTAGTGGCATCAAAAGGAAAGAGAGCCAGGCAGGTGGGATGACTGGCCACCAGGCAGAGGGCTTACAAATAACGTGCACTATAAAGGATCCTGGAGACCTCAAGGGTGGTGGCTGCAACAGTGAGGAAGAGAAGGGTTAGGCAGCCATCCTCTCTCCTTCCTCCATATCTTCCTGCCTCTCAGGCTATCCAGGCTGTGGCCCTCTTGCACATTTCTATATTGAAATGTTTGCTTATACACTTAAAAAATGGGATGAGGTGGGAAAAAATAAAGAAAAAGAGAAAAAAAATAAAGAAAAAATAAAAATTAAAACAAACAAAAAAAAACACAAAAAAAATGTTTGCCTAAGGCAGACAGAACAACATAAGCATCCTAAAATGGATAAAATCCCAACCATAGCCCTGGGAGAAACATAGAGTGGTCAAAATGGCCTAATGTAATGCATTAAGGAAAGGAAATGCATCCTTCTCCCTCACACTACACACCAAATATGAAACAGTAGTAATAGGCCAAAGCTATTGTCTTTGAGAAATTATATGAGTCTTTTTCTGGCTCTTCTTTCCCACAGTAGAGTGCATATACCTTCATTCTTCTGTCTGAACCACTCACTCTTAATATATATGGGAAGAATAGAATATATATATATATATATATATATGCTTTTACACTGTTACATTTGTCTGAAGATAGGAGATTAAAATGTAACTTGAGGCTTTTGTGATACAAGACAGTGAGTTGACTATTAGCATTAACCTCTCCCAAACAAACAGAAACAATTATAAAGAAATATAAAGTAAATTCATTCATAAAAGTAGTACATGGGGTGAGAATAGTGGATCAAAGAGTTTGATAAATTCCTAGAAAGAATACTGATGGGATCAAACTGAAGGATAAATCAGAGTAAGGACGCCGTAGCCCAGCAAATCTCAGGAAATGGCTGCAGCAGAAGTGGAAGCCATTTTCGTGGAAGAAGCAGCCCCGCTCTCCAGCTATAGAGAGTGGAAGTGGGAGGATGACTTAAAATGAGATGATCATTTGAAGAACTATTTGGAAAAGGGCTGAATAAGTTGGGTTCCACTTCCACCACCTTCCCCTACCCCCAGTAGAGGAGTGTGTCTGTTTCCTGGATGAAAACAGACAGTATATCTCAAAGGAAATTGAGTGATGTGTCTGAAAAGGATTTGGGACTCCAGAATGGAGGAAGTAGTCTTGGTGCCTGTGGTGGAGTACAAAACTTACCACAAAAGTTTTCCCTCCCTGAATCTATAACCTTGCATTGACATCACAGATCCTCACATCAAGAAGTGGTCTATTTCTTTTCTCTTGGATCTGCTGTGTGGCTTGCTTTGGTCAACAGGACACTGGCAAAAAATAGTGCAAGCAAAAGCTGGAAAAGCACTTACGCATTGGGGCTTGCAAGTCTCAGAAACCTGCCGCAACTATGTGAACAAACGGGATGGTGAAAGATACATGCTCCAGTCATCCCTTTTGACCAAACTTATGACCAAACAACCCCTAGGAGTAGACCAACAGCAGCAGCTGACCACAGACATATGAGTTCAGCTGACACAAACAGAAGACTATCATTCACTAAATACATGGTTGTTGTTTTAAGCCTCTAAACATTTAGTGGTTTGTTTTATATCAAAAACTAACTAATAACCATACCCCAGAATAGAGCTATAGAGTAGAGTAGCAATCAAAATGATTTGACTCACAATGAACTCTGGTGGTGATGAACTGATCATAGGAACCCTAGGACTGAAACAGAAGTTGGATCCACTTAATCCAAAGAATTTTGTCAAATAGAAAGTTGAGTTGCTGTGATAGAGTATTAGATCCTCTCCATTCATGTACCCAGAGGACTTTGAGGAAGGATGCTATGGTAACATTATAATTATGTACTGTAAATCTTCCTAGCTATTCCCAAAGGATCTGCAGCCATTTACCAAGGCAACTCCTCAGAGGAGAAATAAAAATCCATATACTCTTCAGGGATTATTGGACAATGGCTCTGAGCTGACACTAATCCTGGGAACTCAGAGCAATACTATTGCCCACAGTCAGAGTGAGGCCTTATGAAGGTCAAATGATAAATGGAGTTTTGGCCAAAGTCCAACTCACAGTGGGCCCAGTGGGTCTATAAATTCACTCTGGTAATTTTCCAAGTTGCTGGATTTATAGTTGTAATAGATATAACCAGAAAAACACCCCAACTGGCTCCCTGACCTGCAGAGTGAGAATTTTTATGATAGGAAGGGCCAGGTGGAAGCCTGGAACGTACTCTACCTTCTAATTATAGCAGTAATAGCAAACAAATACCTAGCACTTATTATGTACCCGACACTCTTCTAAGCACTTTACATATATTAACATGTTATTCCCCAAAACAGCACTACAAGGTAGACACTATTATTGTACACCTTTTATAGAAAAGGAAATTAAGGCATTGAAAGCTTAAGTAACTTACCCACAGCCACCCATTAGTAATCGGTAAAACTGAAATTTAAACTAGAAACTGGCTCCAGAGACCATGCTCATAACCACTATGCTGTATTGTCAAAATAGTAAACCAAAATCAATACTACATTGCATGGAGGACTCACAGAAATTAGGGCCACTATCCAGACTTTAAAAATTAAGGGGTAGTGATTGATTCCTATCACATCCTTTCTTTTTTTAGAGATGAGATCTCACTTTGTTGCCCAGGCTGGAGTGCAGTGGCACAATCATAGCTCACTACAGCCTTGAACTCCTGGGCTCAAGTGATCCCCCTGCCTCAGCCTCCCAAGTAGCTGAGAATTCAGGTGTAGGCCACCACACTCAGCTAATTTTGTATTTTTGGTACAGATGGGGTCTTACTATGTTGCCCAGGCTAGTTTCAAACTCCTGACCTCAAGCAATCCTCCCACCTTAGCCTCCTGAGTCTCTGGGATTACAGGCATGAGCCACTGTGCCTGGTTCTCACATCCCTTTTTGATTGACCTGTTTGACTAGTGAAAAATACAATGGGATCTTGAATTAAAATTGGTATGTATGGGCCGGGCGTGGTGGCTCATGCCTGTAATCCTAGCACTCTGGGAGGCCGAGGAGGGCGGATTGCTCGAGGTCGGGAGTTCGAAACCAGCCTGAGCGAGACCCCGTCTCTACTAAAAATAGAAAGAAATTAATTGACCAACTAAAACTATATATACAAAAAATTAGCCGGGCATGGTGGTGCATGCCTGTAGTCCCAGCTACTTGGGAGGCTGAGGCAGGAGGATCGATTGAGCCCAGGAGTTTGAGGTTGCTGTGAGCTAGGCTGACGCCACGGCACTCACTCTAGCCTGGGCAACAAAAGTGAGACTCTGTCTCAAAAAAAAAAAAAAAATTGGTATGTATGGATTGGCCTTGAGCAGGTTCTGAAGGTACAGCAAAGATATGTGAGCAGTGGCTCATACTCCCAATGTGTCTGTACCTACCATGCTATCTTCCCTTTCTCAACTCACACTTATAGTTTCATGGGGACTGCCATGGCTGAATTATGTCCCTGATAAATTTATATGTTGAAGTCCTAACACCTAGTATCTCAGAATTTGACTGTATTCAGAGATAGAATTTTTAAAGATGTAATTAAAGTTAAATGAGGTTACTGGGGTGGGCCCTAATCCAACATGACTGGTGTTCTTACAAGAAGAAGAAATTAAGATACAGACAGGCACAAAGGGAAGATCATGTAGACATATGGAGAAGACAGCCATCAATAAGCTGAGGAGATAGGCTTTCAGAAGTGTTTCAGTCCATTCTTGCCACTATAACAAAATATTTCTTACAGTTCTGGAGGCTGAAAAGTCCAACATCAAGGTTCTGGCAGGTTTGGTGTCTGGTCTGTACTTCTAAGACGGTACTGTGAACACTGCATCTCACATGGCAGAAGGGACAGAAGGGTAAAAGGGCCTAGTTAATTCCTTCAGCCCTTTCATGAGGCACTAATCCACTCCTTGAGGGCTGAGCCACATGGCCTAATCACCAACTAAAGGCCCCACCTCTTAATACTGTTGCATTGGGGATTAAGTTTCAACATTAATTTTTGAGGGGACACAAACATTCAAATCATACCAAGAAGAAACCAACCCAACTGACACCTCGATCTTGAACTTCTAGCTTCCAGAACTGTGAGGAAATAAATTTCCATTGTTTAAGCCATCCAACCTGTGATACTTTGATATGGCAGCCCTGGCAAACTAAAACAGGGATCTCTCTATAACCAGCTGTTTGAAGAGTAGAAAAGTCAAACCTACTTTAGCACATTTCTGCATGACATAGGGCACCAGCCAGCACATTTCTGTACATCACAGCACCACACAGGGGTAGCCCAGAAGGACAGTAAAGAAAAAAAGTCTTTCATGAGAACATAATTTGAAGTGGTATATATGGTTGTTCACTTTGCTTGGAAGGAGAAATGGCCTAAGGTATGGCGCTACACTGTTTGGTATGCAGGGACTTGGAAAGAACATTTCCAATGTTGTCTACAAGGAGGTTGGGAGAAGTGGTATGTGGTTGGACCTCTAAGAATGGTGAATACATTTGTGTTCCATATAAATGCCCAGCAGAGGGCATCAGCTGTGACAGAGGCTCTCAATAATCATATGAACAAGAGGATTTGCATTAGAATGTCAGTCAGCCTCTTTTCCCAACTATCCTGGGGATTGTTTAGGGGCCCATGTACAAAATATCCATGGTTGCAGGTCTGAAGGCTCTGCGAGGGCTCACCAAGGCTGATCTAGCTACCATAGCAGTTGAGTGTCCAATCCCAACCTGACAACAGCAGAGGCCAATGCCAAGTCCTCAATATGTACCATTTTCTTATTGGGGAGTGCTGGGGGGTTACAACCAGCCATCTGGTGGCAGGTTGATCAGGTTGGTTCCCTTCCATTGTGCTGTAACATGAATTTGCCTTCCCTTCCTGCAGCACTTCAACTAGCACCACCTTTGTAGCATTTTCACAATTATGATTTCTCACACAATACTGCTTCTGACTAAGGATCTCATTTTATAGCAATAGAAGGCAAGAAAGGGCTAAACAGAATTAACACTAGTCATACCTTATTCTTCATCATTTAGAATGGCGGATTGCCATTTTAACATCCATTTGTAAATATTTTCTTCCTGTCCCCTTGCTTTTGTCCTCTGCTGATTTAGAGGTCTGATTAGCTAAGGGAGGATCACGTCTACCAGTAGAAACAGCAATCATTCTGTTGAATTGTATGTTGAGCCTGCAACCTAGCTATTTTGAGCTATTCATGCCACTGGACCAACAGGCAAAATACATGTTTGGTTGGTGTGATTGATCCTGGTCATCAAGGGAATAATTGGTTGCTGTTACACAATTAGACAGGCAGAACTAAGTATAAGATTCTAGAACTCCTCTTAACACTGTCATGTTAGTAGTAAAAGTTAATAGAAGATTACAACAATGTCATATAGGCAGGACCCACCAAGGGTTCAAACCTCTCAGTAATGAAGCTTGACCACAGTCCACCAGGCAAAGAGAATTTGATATCTAAGGAACTGGGTGAGGACAAGGGTAAATGGAATGGGTAGTGGAAGAAAGAAGTTACATAACTACAAACTATGGCTTTGTGACTAGTTTCAGAAACAAGGTGGGAGTAGCTGTTCATAATTTCAGGTTTGCTTATTGTGTCGTGTGTGTGTGTGTATTAGTATATATATACATATAGGATATTTTCTTCATCCTGCCCCCTTATATCAATTGATGGTGATTGAACTTCCCAATTTAGGCCATAAATTACAGAATATCAATACAAGATTATGATGACTTAAAAAGGAATGAACATTATTAAACTTATGAGAGTTTGGGCATCCCCTTTTGGGGAGAAGTTGAGTGTGGTTTTGTACAAGGCATAATTGTACTAACTATGTTATTGTGTCTGTTGTTGTTATTTAGAATTTTAAGTGTGGAAAAATATGTATAGGCACCTGTAATTATTTGAACCTAATCTGTTGCTGAAAATGTACTGGACACCAGAGTGTTTGGATAGCAGTATCCTATATTTCATTAATTTAAATGGGAAAAATAATAATGTATTCACAGCCCATTCAAACCAATTTTCCCAAATGTCATTAAAACACTCTATAAAATGTATACTTAGTTTTCCAAAGGTTTCTGCATAATGTAAAACGTTTATAACCCAACTATTTATTATTATTTATTTATAGTATATATTTAAGGTTGGTTATATAACATGATTTTAATGACAATTTTATATACATAATGAAATGGATACTGTAGTCAAGCAAATTAACATATCCATCATCTCACATTGTTATCCTAATTTTTTCATGATAAGAGCTGCTAAAATCTACTCTTTTACCAAATTTCCAGTATGCAATATTGTTAACTATAGTCCTTATGCTGTACGTTAGATCTCTAGACTTACTCATCCTATGTAATTTCAACTTTGTATCCTTTGACCTACATCTCCACATTTCCTCTTCTCACCCCTAGTCACCATCATTCTATTCTCTGTTTCTAGGTATTTGACTTTTTTTTTAGATTCCACATATAAGTGAGATTATGCAGTATAGTGTCTGGTATACTTTGCTTAAAATGTCTGCCAGATTCATCCATACTGTTGCAAATGACAGGACCTCATTCTTTTTTAAGGATAAATAATATTTCACTTTATATACATACATCACAATTTCTTTATCCATTCATCCAGCAGTGGACACTTAGGTTGTTTCCATATCTTAGCTATTGTGAATAGTGCTGCAATGACCATGGGATTGTGCATATCTTTACAAGGTGCTAATTTCATTTCCTTTGGGTATATGTAGAATAGAGATTGCTAGATCATATGGTAGTTCAATTTTAATATTTTGAGGAACCTCCATACTGTTTTCCATAATGGCTATAACAATTCACAGTCTCACCAACAGTGTACAAGAGTTCCCTTTTCTCTACATCCTTGCCAGCAGTTATTTCTTGTCTCTGATACTAGCCATCCTACCAGGTGTAAGGTGATTATCTCACTGTGGTTTTGATTTGCATTTTCCTGATGATTATTGATGTTGAGCACCTTTACATATACCTGTTGGCCATTTTATGTCTTCTTTGGAGAAATGTTTATGCAAGTCCTTTGCTCATTTTTTAAATCAAGTTATTAGGGTTTTTTTTGTTATTGCTGTTTTGGGGGTGTTTGGTTTGTTTTTGCTATTGAGTTATTTGAGCTCCTTATATATTTTGGATATTAACCCTTTATTAGATATATGGTTTGCAGATATTTTCTCCCAATCTGTAGGTTGCCTTTTCATTTTGTCCATTGTTTCCTTTGCTGTGCAGAGGCTTTCTAGTTTAATGTAGTCCTGCTTATTTAGTTCTGCTTTTATTGCCTGAGCTTCTGGTGTGATATCCAAAAAAAAGTCATTGCCAAGGCCAATGTCAAGGAGCTTTACCTGTAATTTTTCTTCTAGTAGTTTTACAGTTTTAGGTTTTATGTTTAAGTCTTTAATCCATTTTAAGTTGACTTTTATGTATAGTGTTAGATAAGGGTCTAATTTCATTCCTTTGCATATAGATATCTAGTTTTCTCAATACCATTTATTGAAGAGACTATGCTTTCCCCACTGCATCGGCTTGGTCCCCTTGTTGAAAACTAGTTGACCATATATTCTTGAGTTTATTTCTGGGCTCTGTATTCTGTTCCATTGGTCTATATGTCTTTTTTTTGTGCCAGTACCATACTGTTTTGAACATTATAGCTTTGTAATAAATGTAATTTGAAATTAGGAAATGTGATGCCTCTAACTTTGTTTTTCTTTCTTGATTGCTTTGGCTATTTGGGGTCTTTTGTAATTCCATATCAATGTTAGAATTGTTTTATTATTTCTGTGAAGAATGCCATTGGGATTTTGATAAATAAGGATCATGTTGAATCTGCATACCATTTTGAGTGGTATGGGCATTTTAACAATATTAATTTTTCAACCATACATAGTGGCTCACACCTGTAATCCCACACTTTGGAAGGCCAAGGCAGGAGGATCACTTGAGCCCAGGAGTTCAAGACCAGCCTGGGAAATGTAGCCAGACACTGCCTCTACAAAAAATACAAAATGTAGCCAGGCATGGTGGCACATGCCTGTAGTCCCAGCTACTTGGGAGGTTGAGGCAGGAGGATCACTTGAGCCTGGGAGTTTGAGGTTGCAGTGAATTACGATGACACCCCTACACTCTAGCCTGGGCAATATAGCGAGACTCTGTCAGACAAAAAATTAATTTTTCCAATCCATGAACACGAGATATGTTTCCATTTAGTTGTGTATTTGTGTTGTCTTCAGTTTCTTTCATTAGTGTTTTCTAGTTTTCAATATACAGATATTTTACCTCCTTAGTTAAATTTATTCCTAAGTATTTTATTCTCTTTGATGCTGTCATAAATGGGATTGTTTTCTTGATTTCTTTTTTAGATAGGTCATTGTTGGTATAAAGAAATGCAACTGATTTTGTATCCTGCAAATTTACCGAATTCATTTATTAATTCTAACAATTTTTTTTGTGGAACCTTTAGGGTTTTCTACATATAGATCATGTTGTACTTACCTGGCAGGGGAGATACCATGATCACGATGGTGGTTTTCCCAGGGCGAGGCTTATCCATTGCACTCCGGATGTGCTGACTCCTGCGATTTCCCCAAATGTGGGAAACTCGACTGCATAATTTGTGGTAGTGAGGAACTGTGTTCGCCCTTTCCCCTAGAAAAAAAAAGATCATGTCATCTGCAAATATGGATAATTTTGCTCTTTTTTGTTCTTATTTGAATGACATTTTTTTTTCTTGTCTGAATTCTCTGGCCAGTACTTCCAATACTATGTTGAATAGGAGTGGCAAAAGGGGGCCCTGCTTTATACTGAATCTTAGAGAAAAAGTTTTTAGTTTTCCCCCATTGATTATGATGTTAGCTGTGGGCTTTTCATAATTGGCTGTTACTATGTTTAGGAAAATGTTGAACTTTGTCAAATACTTTTTTTGCATCTACTGAGATGATGAAGTGGAAAAGGATATTCCGTGCAAATAGTAACCAAAAGAGAGCAGGGGCAGCTACCATGTTTTCTCGAAAATAAAACAGGGTCTTATATTTATTTTTCCTCAAGAAGACACCCTAGGGGCTTTTTTTCAGGGGATGTGTTATTTTTTTTTAAGTACAGTACAACAATCTACATTTATTCAAATATAGTTGGGGGGCGTGGGCAATATATGTAACCTTAACATTTGTACCCCCATAATATGCTGAAATAACACACACATACACACACAAAATAACAAATATAGTTAAGTCATCTTATCATCATAACTCTCCAAACCCAGAATTGCATCCTGAATTTCTTGCCACTCTATTTCCTTTAGAACCATTGGCCCCAATCTCTCATGTCGAGCAATAAAGCTCTCATAGGGCAGATGAGAAAGGCTGCTCATCTTCTTTACTGCTCTGTGAGGAAATGCATGGGTTGTGCAGATACGCTGCATAGCCACGCCCATCACTAGGTCTTATTTTCGGGGTAGGGCTTATATTGTGCAAATGCTTAGAAATCCTGCTAGGGCTTATTTTATGGGTAGATCTTATTTTGGGGGAAACATGGTATACTTATATCAGACAGAACATATTGAAAGTCAAAAACTGTCAAAAGAGACAAAGGTCATTATATAATGATAAAGGGGTCAATTCATCAAGAGGGTATAAAAATTGTAAAAATACATGCATCCAACATTGGTTCACCTAAATATGTAAAGCAAATATTAACAAAACTAAAGGGAGAAATAGATAGCAATACAATAGTAGCTAGGTACTTTACTGCCCCACTTTCAACAATGGATTGATCACACAGACAGAAAATCAATAAGGAAATATTGAATTCCAACAACACTTTAGACCAAATATACCTAATATATATACATCTACAGAACATTGCATTCAACAACAGCATTCTTTTCAAGGGCACATGGAATATTCTCCAGGATAGATCATATGTTAGGCCACAAAACAAGTCCTAACACATTTAAGAAGATAGAAATAATATCAAGTGCCTTTTCTG